GCGTCCGCCTCACAACCGGGAGGTCGTGGGTTCGAACCCCGGCCGCGTCATACCAAAAGACGTAAAAAGATGGGAGTTGTTGCTACCTTGTTTGGCGTTCAACAATAAGGGATAGAGCAACGTCGATCTGGCGCTGCTCAGTGGCTGCCGGGCTCACGATCAATTGGGCAAAAAGAATTTCCATTTCGGTTTAATAAAATTTGGAGTGGACTATTAGGCTATTATTATTATTATTATTATTATTATTATTATTATTATTATTATTATTATTTAAACATGTGTGAAGTGCACTGAGAGAAGAAAGCTTGCCAGTGACGACCATCTCCCTTTAATACCAATAACTCAATAATGGATTTGATGAAAGTTGGTGGTATAATAATAATATAATATTGGATATTTCTATAGCGCACATATCCACCATGCATGGTGCTCAAGGCGCTTCAACTGTTACCCGGCTCTGCTTGGCAGCCAATTTCAGCACTCGCAGCATTCAAGGAATTCCTTCCTACCGGCATCCATTTGACACCTGGGTGGAGAGTGGCAAATGTACATTAATATCTTGCCAAAGGACATTAGTGCCGTGGCGGGACTCGAACCGCAGACTCTGTGATCCACTAGACCACATCACCTGTACCTTTGAGAGTAAGGGCATATCCATTTAACTATGAAGTGGAATGGATCACAAGGCTCTATCAATATATTAATAAAATGCTTTGGGATCATCATGGTTTAAATCAGCTAATTATTACCAAGTTGATTTGAAATCAAGTGAAACGGTACCATCAAGGCTTGATGTATGACTGTTCAAAGCAGGAATATCTCAGCATTTTACCCTGCTTTTGTGTGATTACTACACAAAATCTAGACACTCCAATCGAAGGTGCTTTTTGGAAATGTACCTAACAGTTCAAAAATGAGAGGAAAAGAAATTTATCAATATTAGTTAGTTTAGGGTTTGAGATTTGTTATTTGAATTTTTCAATATAACCTTAGCAATAGTCAGCTTAATTCTTGTTGGCTGTCAGAATAGTTGTGTCAATTGCTTTATGAATGACATGTTTATTCTACTGATTTTATTATCTCTGTACTTTTGTTAGAGTAAACTTGATGTTGTTTGAGATCCCTTAAAACCATACGACACCCCCTCTCCCCCGTACGGTCCTTTTTTGATATAGTATATATGCAAACATCAGTTCTATTTTCAAGCATTTAGGTGCTTAGTTATGGTGAATACTATAAAAGTGAAAATTTAGATTGTGATATTTGAAGGCTCAAATATTGTATATGCTGTTTGAATAACTCTTATTATATGAAGTTTCTTTTTTTATATGATAATAATAGTTTTTTTTTCTAGATTTCAGAGCTTAGCTTGCCAAGAGAGAGAAAGAGTATTGATATCATGCCGACTGATTTAGAACATCTAGATACGTTGGGCATTAGTGTTGATATATTTATTATTTGATTTCATATTTATAACAAAAAAGTCAAACTTGCTAGTGTAAATTAAGATATTTGCTCACAATCTTGTTCTTCATTTGTGTATCTTATCATGAGATTTGAATCCTATTTAAACTATGAAAATATAATTTAAAAACTTGTATGTAATTGCATTTGTATCTTGAATGAAAAACTTATAAATAAAAAAAATATCTGAATATCTTTTTTTGACTGTTATAGTAATCTGTATGGATGATGATGGCGGTGGTGGTGGTGATGATGATGATGATGGTGGTTGTGTTGGTGGTGGTGATGGTGGTGATGATGATGATGGTGGTGGTGGTGAAGATGATGATGATGGTGGTGGTGATGATGGTGATGATGATGGCGGTAATGATGATGGTGGGGGTGGGGATGATGATGGCGGTGGTGGTGGTGATGATGATGATGATGGTGATGGTGATGGTTGTGATGATGATGATGATGGTGGTGATGATGGTGGTGGTAGTGAAGATGATGATGATGGTGGTGGTGATGATGATGATGGCGGTGATGATGATGGTGGGGGTGGTGATGATGATGGTGATTTTTATGAAAATTATGATTTTGATTAGGATGAAGAGGATAATAGTGGTGATGATGATGATGGTGGTGGTGATGGTGACGATGATGGTGGTGGTGATGATGATGGTGGTGGTGGTGGGGGTGATGATGATGGTGGTGGGGATGATGGTTGTGGTGGTGATGATGATGGTGGTGGTGATGATGATGATGGTGGTGGTGGTGATGATAATGGCGGTAGTGATGATGGTGGTGGTGGTGGTGGTGGGGATGATGATGGTGATGGTGATGGTTGTGATGATGATGATGATGGTGGTGATGATGGTGGTGGTGGTGGTGATGATGATGATGATGGTGATGGTGATGGTTGTGATGATGATGATGATGGTGGTGATGATGGTGGTGGTAGTGAAGATGATGATGATGGTGGTGGTGATGATGATGATGGCGGTGATGATGATGGTGGGGGTGGTGATGATGATGGTGATTTTTATGAAAATTATGATTTTGATTAGGATGAAGAGGATAATAGTGGTGATGATGATGATGACGGTGATGATGGTGATGATGATAATGATGATGATGATTATGATGATGGTTGTGGTGATGATGATGGTGGTGATGATGATGGTGGTGGTGGTGGTGATGATGATGATGGTGGTGGTGATGGTGACGATGATGGTGGTGGTGGTGATGATGATGGTGGTGGTGGTGGGGGTGATGATGATGGTGGTGGGGATGATGGTTGTGGTGGTGATGATGATGGTGGTGGTGATGATGATGATGGTGGTGGTGATGATGTTGATGGTGGTGGTGGTGATGATAATGGCGGTAGTGATGATGGTGGTGGTGGTGGTGATGATGATGATGGTGGTGGTGGTGGTGATGATAGCGGTGGTGGTGATGATGATGGTGGTGGTGATGGTGGTGATGATGATGGTGGTGGTGGTGATGATGATGGTGGTGGTGATAATGATGATGGTGGTGGTGATGATAATACAAAATACATTATACAAAAAAGTGAGATCGGGGATACAGAAAATAATACAAAAGGATGAGCTGCATGTGGGGTTGAGAAGAAGATGAGGAAAGAGGTTCGCGCTTTGATTATAAAGGCAGGAGATGTGCAAACGTGAGAGAGCACAATATAATACATCAAAATACATATTTGAGTCAGCGAGTAGAAATGCCTATCGGCCTATGGAAATATGAACAGCTCCATGTTGAAAAAACAACTCCTTTGCCAAATCAGCTACTAAGAAAATATAACGCAATCATATTGAAACAAATATTATAAAAAAGGGAAAAGAGCTTGGAAAATAACACATTTTAGTTTAGTTTAGGGCCTATATATCAGGGCCTGTCTTATGAAATAAAATCGCAAATCTTTTATAAGATAGGACCCGGAACACATTGACTGTATCTTACACTATATTTATTCACTGTATAATAAATTCTCCAAATCTCACTTTAAATATTCTTCGATATTGATCGATTGATTGATTGATCCATTTTATTTCAAAGTCAGCAAAAACAAAAAAAAGTAATAAATATTTACGATGTACATATAAAAATCAACTTAAATATGTGAAACAAAGAAATAACATTTAAATACAAGTTGTTGGAAAATGAAATAAGGTGTATCAGTAAAAGCCTATGTGGCTTAATAAGTTGACCCATTACAAAGAATGAAAAACATATAAATTCCAGATAGCTGACAGTAACATACTAAATTGCATTTAACTTAAAGGGATAGTTGAGTTCTTGTTTAAAGGGAAAGTCCACCCTGAATTAAGTTAGTTTTAATAGGAGTAGAAAAATGAGAGAAACAAGTCAGTGAAAGTTTGAGCAAATTCCGATTAAAAATAAGGAAGTTAGGATTTTTGAAGTTGTGATCAATCAAACACAAATTGGCAACTCTATGACGTATCATGCGAGCTCAACTTCCATTTGCTCAGTACTAAAAAAATCTAAAATTTTCATTTTCCCTCAAGAAAAATTTCAACCATACATGCACCCTAAATATAATAATTGCAAATATGTTTCTATACTCCCCCTGCAAGGAACAAATATATATTCCGTCATCAATAACGAAGAAAACATGATTTTATGGAATATTATGCACAAAGCAAATGAAGGAGAGCTCGTATGATAAGTCACAGAGTTGCCAATTTGTATTTGATTGATCACAACTTCAATAATTCATAACTTTCTTATTTTCATTCAGAATTTGCTCAAACTTTCACTCACCTGATTTTCTTATTATTCTGCCTCTATCGAAACAAACTTATTTTGGGGGTGGACTTTCCCTTTAAGACCGCAAATGCCTTTTATTCTTTTATGCTTTTATTCTTATTTATGACATTTCTAGTGCCCTTTTAGAACCTAAAATTGCTATGAAGGTAATTTTATAATTTAGATTGAATACGATTATACCAATTCAGCTCCGCTTTGAACAAATATATAGTGATCGTTAATCGATTAATTAGTTAATAATAACAATACACGGGCCGGATGGTTATGCGTAGTATAAAATTGACAAAAGACTTAACTCCGTTTCGTTGACAATCAGCAGAAGACGAAAGACTTCATGCATTGCTGATTGTCAACGAAACGGAGTTAAGTCTTTTGTTAATTCCGTTTTTTGCTATACGGCAGGCAGCCAGTGAAAACGAATTAGTTTGATAAAATTATGGAAATGCAATCACTACTTTAAACAAACAGAACTTTGTAATTCCTTGCTCATTTTTCCTGATTGAGGTGTCATATGAAAGGGCAGAAACTTAATTTTCTAGAAATGTGATTTTCTCTTTCAGATACCGTCCGCCAAATGACTTTTGGGTTTCCTCTCTTCATATTCATTTTAATCACTCATGCGTGCAATATGCATTATATGAGTTACATCAAAATGAAAGAGGAGGATCTAAGCTTTACAAATATGTGTCATTTATCAATTATAATTGTGATTAAGTTATGATAAAACATCGATAATTCTCGGTTTCTCTGGGACGCACTGTACAGAAAAAAATGCGTAATGCCTTTTTTTAAGACGGTGTATTTTATTTTATTTTGAGGGATAAGGATTAGCCCAGACCGGGCATTATACATCAAAAATAAAATTATTTAAGGAATGAAGTGTATCATGTGACAATGTAAGCCAATATTGCGAGAAATTTCGAACAAATATAATTAATGTGAGGATCCCATGATAAATGTTCGTCCAACACAATTCCTAAATATGTAATTGTTGAGCAATTCTATTTCAGTATTATTTATAAAAATGGATATAATAAACGTCTGACTTATTGTGGGAGTTACGGAACACTACATATTTAGTTTTCAGAACATTCAATGATAATTTATTACATAAAAGCCAAGAATGCACGAATTGTAAATGGACATTAATTGCAATAATCAAAAACAGAAAGTCTGGGTGTGAAGCTACAAGAGTAGGATCGTCTGCAAATATTACATACTGAAAAGATAGGTATGCATTTTATTATATCATTAATATAGATTTTTTTTTTAAGGGCCGAGTATCGACCCTTGAGGTACACCACAAGATAAACAACGATTGTCAGAACAATGTGAGTTGTATACAGCGTATTGTTTTCTATCAGTTAGGTAGCTATTAAACCATTATACTACGAATTCCGTAATATTGCGATAATAAAATTGGATGGGATAATGTACTGGAAGGAAATAGCATTCGCATTATTTGAATAGTTCGCAACAGGTATAAAAAGAGATTACTAGATCAATAGCCTGAGCACGATAAGATACATGATGCAGTGCTAGTTAACATTACAAAAATAACTGCACAATGAACAAAAACATATAGAACCTATATCCTGAACGTGCTTTTAAACCGTTACATTTTGTAAACTATTGCCTTAAAATAGTGGGAGGTATCAAACTTGGCTTGTTTTCACGTCCGAACTGTTCATCTTGAACTGTACCTTGATTCCAGACAATATCAAGGCGATGGATCGGTGGATGGGGTCACAGACGAGTCGAAGGGCAGGCTCGTAGGCTAGATTGAACACCCGCAACCATACGTAGTATAACTTCATGCTTGGTTGGACGAACCAGACGACGGCGAAGTGCATGACCGCGAACGACAAGCCAAACGAGAACGCCATGAGCGGGGCAAGGAGCAGGTTCAGGACGGCGTAAAAAGCGAACTGATGGGAAAGATCAAGCGTGAGGGAAGTTCGGGATTGAGTTTTTATCGCTTATAATTATGATTACTGGATCGATAGTTGAACATAAGAGACAATGGGCAGTATGATATAGCATACCAACACTGTTTTTAATCCAGGACAGGTTTAAATCCTACCAAAGTTTGTAGATTTATACTCATTTAAATTTATTTATGTTACCAACAAAAAAATACAAATAAATTATAATCATTTACAACAACAAAGGAATACATATGCCTATAGGAAACAGAGGGGTCCAATAAAAATCAATGCTTGTACAATAAATATTGTGTTCCCCTCAAATGATAGTTAGGAATAATGACTAATTAAATTTAACAAATTTGTAACTACAAAAAGAAACTGGAAATTAAAATAAAGGGGGATACCAACAGAGACGAGAACGGGACAAGAGAGTCATTTACATGACAGGAGAACACGGTCACAAAACAGAAAGTAGACAATGCTATAAAAAGAAGTGAGAGATCGGGGGTACAGAAAATAATTCAAAAGGATGAACTGCATGTGGGGTTTGAGAAGAAGATGAGGAAGGAGAAATGCGCATTAAAACGAAATAAACATGAGAGGGCACAATATGATAATCAAATTACATTTTGAGTCAGCAAGTAGAGAATGACCTTGTTTTTAAAAAAAGACAACAAAGTAATCATCTTAAAACTCCTTTGATATATGGATCGTCAAGTGTCAAACACTCTATCCCATAAAAAATAATTCCGTTGATACTAAGAAACAATAATTAAGATACCACGAAATCAATAACATTCATTTTATAATTGGGTTAGTTTTGTTGATTCATTTTATCATAGAATTACGGTAATTAATTTCTACAGAAATAAGGATTCAATCTTTATAAACAGGCACAGTTAAATGGGCCCGCACATTGTACGCCTACGATTACTTTATCATTAAGAAAATACTCACGTGAGTGTATTTATAGATCGCCCCATTGACCTTTTCCATGAATGAGAACCCCACGATGTCTTTGGATTCCTTAAAGGTATCTGCAAAGCCAGTCTGAGAAAGGAAGAACAAAATATCGAAAACATTCTGGAATTCATTTTTGTGTTATTTTACCATTTATATTGGATGAAATATAAGCCGTAAACTCAAGAATAGTTAGAGGATAACTAAAAGTTTAGATTTCTTCCTCCATTATATTTTTAGAACTATATAACAAGCATTTTTTTAGGTATTATGATCATTCATAATATATTTTCACTGTAGCAACATTTCATATTCAAGAGGTTTCTAATCTAGTAACACAGTAAAATAAATACTTTATTCTTGGCAATGGGTTGACATATCATTCGACCTTTTCCCATCATCAACAACTCAAAGAGGATGCGGCTTGCACAATGACTTGGAATTACTAACTTATGCCGTCTCATACACAAAAGAAGATGAGCAATAACGACATAGGCCCCCCCCCCCCCCCCCCCCCCCCCCGCGAGCCCAAGATTGTCAGTCTCGTTGCCTGCCGGTCTCGACAGTCTAGGACAAATTATTCCTGTTGAAATCTTTTTGTGAATTTTGTGATCCCATGTTACCTCCGAAATTAGCTCAAGTTTGTTGCTCAAAAGAATTTTTCGTAATCTGTATTTAAATCCAACTGGCCACATTCAACCTGTCGTCATATTAAACGGCCCAAGACGCCTTACGCCTTATACAACCTCCGCTCGTTGCAATCCCATGTTGCATATAATTTGCAGAAGACTTGATTTTGATATTCAAATTACTCAAGAAACTCGAAATTGTTCTGTGACCACATTATGTGGTCACATTATGTGGTCGTATGTGGTCCACATACGATTATACCCCCCCCCCCCCCCCCCCCCCCCCCCCTCCCCAAGGAAAAAAAAATCCAAAGAAAGTACTTTTGTAGGTTCACTATTTATGGTAAGGGAGCGGCAAGTGGACGATTAGATTCGTGTCTATATATTATACCGTAACATGTGGAGAGAGCCTGTAGACATCTTCAATATCAGATTGGTCGACACCTTGTATAGGTGGTACTTGCACTGTTCCCGATGGACCGTTTTCTGGATGTATCATCTCCATAATCTTCTTCGATTGCTCTGCTCCTTCAGATTGGTCAAAAAGAAGAAGAAAAAAAGAATCAGGTTATTCCAATGAATATTCATCATGATACATGAACATTCATAACTTATTCGCATAATTATTATAGAAATGCTTCAACATAATCTAGTCAGAAATTGGGATCCCCGTGCAAGGAGATATATTTTTAAATTAAAGACTTTATCCAAACTGAAAAATTGAATTGAAGTCTTATAGACCGTGTTTGATCTCTCACTGATCACGGTGATAAGAGACACAGAGCGAAAGAGAAAGAGAGAGAGAGAGAGAAAAAGAGGAAGAGAGAGAGAAAGAGGGAGAGAGAGAGGGGAGGGGAGAGAGAGGGAGAGAGACAGAAAAATGTATAATACCGACATTTTCTCTAGTTCAAAATGTGGGTGCATTTTTTTTTCTATCTAATATTTCCTCATATTTTACGTCAAAGGTTTTTTTTTGGTCATGTTTTGTACTTTATGTTTCCTACGATATTTAAAATAATATTATTACTTGAAGTCGTCGAATTTTTGAAGATGTATGTAACATAGGCCTATATAAATATGTGCAACCATGTTTTTTCAGTCGTTATAATGCTGCCATAATTATTATCATAGTTATGTTTCTTCTATTATGTTTCTTGAAGGTTTGGTGATTTGTGTTTACAAACCATGTGTATGCTTGTAAGTAAGTAACAAGGGGACCGGCGACTTTAGATCCTCTCCGAGGGACTTGGTAATGAGGATAAAATAATGCCTGACCAAACGGCATCAGTGCACCGACTTGGTATCGAACCCTGGACCACCCGGTTTCAAAAATGCTTCTCTACCACGGAACCATCGCGCCTCCTTCATAATGATCAGGCACGTACCACGGGGGGGGGGGGGGGATAGTCCAGCCTCTGTACCGTTTTCGTTTAACGCACCCAATCAGCTGATAAAATAACACACCCTCAACGTTGAAAGTAGACCTAGCCATTCCTCTAAATCTGGACCTCGAATACGACTTCCAAAGTAGGGGGGGGGGCCGGGGGGGGGGCACCAACATTGTGATTAGATTATCAGGGATGATTTCATCGTTTGTTTCTCTCTTTACATGGTCCAAGATACTGCTTAATCATCATACTTTGCAGTTGAGTGTGATGGTCTGAGCATCATTCGTGAGCGAGCGAGCAAAAATATTAAGATTTGTGAAGTCGAAATGCGAAACTTGAATTACAATAAAGATGAAAAACAAATTCTAATCATGAAAGACTTAAAAGATCTTTATATGAGAAACAAAATCATAATAACTTAAAATGCGAGCGTATCGGTTGGGCTTTGGGTGAAATCAAAGAAAAAAAATGTTCTTTGTCGCTTTAAACTAGGAGTAATTATTGTAATAAGGGGTTTTCTGCCAAAAAAGTTTGGATCGATATTCCCCCACCCCCCCCCGGTTTCTACGCAAGTGTTGTAGATTGAAAACTGTGAGGCAGTAGAGAAAAACGTAATTTAGAAGGGGAATTTAAAACGGAACGGAATGAGGACATTTGTATACAAATACATTAGCACCAATATAGAGTCATTTGGTTATTGTCACCCGAGCTAAATTAATTAGCAGGCACCGCTGAACAAAACATCAAATGTATATGGATATACTAATTAATTCGAGAACATGATACATGAAAGCTCACGCTGCATAAGATTATACTTGGAGAAGACACAAAGATAAATGTTACACAATTTTCCAAATGTGAAATTATCATTTCAAGAGTTCAGCGGGAATTCCAGAAACGTCTTTTCTCTCTCTCTCTTTTTTTTTTTTTTTTTTTTTTTTTTGTGGGGGGGGGGGGGACAGAAACATTTAGGGGTGTTTAACCCCCCCCCCAAAAAAAAAAAAAAAAAAAAAAAAAAAACCTGCGTAGGCGCATGTCTGTAGCAAACATTTACGGTATTTCTGATCTACAAAAAAAAAGAATATAATGAGGCTTAATAATTGTATTAAAATTCAAGTCTAATGGATAGTCCAATACGATTTACTTTTGGCTGGCGCGCAAGCGTCGCAGATTGTACGAGAAGTTTTAAGTCCTAAAAGATGCAGAAGTTACTTTCATTAAAACTTGTAATCGTATATTCGATTAAATGAAGCTTTAAATACTTCAATTTCAATTTCAAATGATTTTACTTCTCATGCAAAACATAATACAATGAATAATTATATTACAAAAATATGCAATGAAACGAAAAATATAATAGAAAAAGCATGAGAAAAGAGGAACTAACTAGAAGCAGAGCTTGTTGAAGCGTTTGTTCCTCAGATGCTGTTTTACAATATAACATGAACAAAGAATACTTAGAATATAATTATGTAATGGAGGAAAATAGTAGAGGGCAAAAAGAAAGAAAGATACAAAAAAGGAAAAATGAATGATTGCAAACATTTTATGCCTCCCACAAATCTCCAAGATCGGTTGAACTTTTTTAGACCCCTTTTTTACCTCGATCGATTACATGTATGTGCCCCCCCCCAAAAAAAAACAACAACATCAAACTCTGGCTACGTGCCTGATAATGATATGTCACAAAACTTAATGATATGGAAATTTGAATAAATTAAAATAAAATGAATAATAGACACTGATATTGAAGACGAGGAATAGACGAACAGGAAAACAAATATTTAACTTGGAGTAAAAAGGAATAGAAAGATAAGTACTACGACGTATACGTGTACGGGGTCACTTCGTTTGAAATAGAAACCAACGCTGAGAATTTAGTCAAATCCACTCATACACACACACACACACACTCTCTCTCTCTCTTCCATTACATAAAAATCGAAGAGAATCGAGACTTACCTGGTATTAAGCCCTTCCTTTTGTATAATTGATAATCAAATTACTGCAAAATGATTTCCCTTTTTCAAGAATTAAATTCGACTTGTGATCAAAGATGGTTTAATACCGCTGACTGTCTTGATACGATTTATCCGGCTTGAACTGTGCCAAAACGAAAGCGTGTGAGTGTATACTGGTTGCCTTAGAGCGATTCCATTAATAAACCGGGTAATAATTATCGTCGTATTGTGAGGACTCTAATGACGAACGTGAACTTCGATTTGGTGTGTATACGGTCGATTTATACATACTCGGAGTCGGAGCTATTGTGAAAATTTCCAATTGGCCTTCCCCCTATTTGTTTTGACCTCACGACTATAGGGCAGCGTTTCACGAAACTGTCGTAATTACACATTCACCGACATCCCATCGAAACTCGTTGTAATTAACACACGTTTCAATGTGATATCGATGAACTTGTACTTATTACGGTTTCGTGAAACTATGCCCTGACCATTAAGAAAATTAAGCAACGAAACAAGGTACTATAAATATTTCAGATTAAGGGCCCTTATATGGTCTTCTTGCGAGTCTTCCCAATTTATTCCATTGCCCAGATTTTATAATTTTGATCGACTCTTTCGTCTGTACTCTAGTACAGACGAAAGAGTCAATCTAGGTGAACATAATGTTAAGCAAAAAAGGGACCCCTATAATGCCATAAGAGTGCGCTAATAAAAATTCAGATAAGTCTTTAGACCGTTTTTAGATCTCTCACTGATCGCGGTGATAAGAGACAGAGAGAGAAAGAGAAAAAAAGAGAGAGAGAGGAAGAGGGAGAGAGAGAGAGAGAGAGAGAGAGAGAGAGAGAGAAAGGAGAGAGAGAGGGGAAGAGAGAGAGAGAGGAAGAGAGAGAGGGAGAGAGAGAGAGGAAGAGGGAGATAGAGAGAGAGAGAGGGAGAGGGAGAGAGAGAAAGAGAGAAAGAGAGAGAGAGAGAGAGAGAGAGGGAGAGAGAGAAAGAGAGAAAGAGGGAGAGAGAGAGAGAGAGAGAGAGAGGAAGAGGGAGATAGAGAGAGAGAGAGAGAGAGAGGGAGGGAGAGGGAGATAGAGGGAGAGAGAGAGAGAGGGAGAGAGAGAGGGGGAGAGAGACAGAAGATTGCTCGACTCAGGAAAATGTATAATACCGACTTTTCTACATTCAGATTTTCTCTAGTTCAAAATGTGGGTGCATTTATTTTTCTATCTAATATTCCCTCATATTTTACCTCAAAGATTGTCTTTTGTCATGTTTGTACTTTAAAATAATATTACATGAAGCCGTCGAATTTTTGAATATGTATGTAACATAGACCTATATAAATATGTACAACTATGTTTCTTCAGTTGTTATAATGCTGCCACAATACATAGTCTCTTCTATTATGTTTCTTGAAGGTTTGGTGATTTGTGTTTACAAACCATGTGTATGCTTGTAAGTAAGTAACAAGGGGACCGGCGCGGCGGCTTAAGATCCTCTCCGAGGGACTTGGTAATGAGGATAAATGCCTGACCAAACGGCATCAGTGCACCGACTTGGTATCAAACCCTGGACCACCCGGTTACGAAAAAGATTCTCTACCACTGTGCCATCGCGCCTCCTTCATAATTATGTATGATAATTATGTCACAAAAATTAATGATGTGGAAATTTGAATAAACTAAAATAAAATGAAGACTAGACACTGATATAGGAGACGAGGAATAGACGAACAGGAAAGCAAAGTATGAATATTTAACATGGAGTAAAAAATTAAAAAAAAGGATAGTAAGATAAGTACTACGACGTATACGTGTACCCTAGTACACGTATACGTTTGAAATAGAAACCAACGCTGATAATTTAGTCAAATCCACACGTACACGTACGCACGCAAACACACACACACACACTCTCTCTCTCCTAACTTCCATTACATAAAAACCGAAGAGAACCTTGACTTACCTGGTATTAAGCCCTTCTTTTTGTATAGTTGATAGTCAGATTACTGCAAAATAATTTCCCTTTTTCCAGAAAATTCGACTTGTGATCAAAGATGGTTTTATACCGCTGACTCTCTTGATACGATTTATCTGGCTTGAACTGTGCCAAAACGAAAGCCTGTGAATGTATACTGGTTACCATGGAGCGATTCCATTGATGAACCGGACAAAATTTTCGTCGTATTGTGAGGACTATTATGACGAACGTGAACTTCGATTTGGTGTGTATACGGTCGATTTATACATACTCGGAGTCGGAGCTATTGTGAAAATTTCCAATTGGCCTTCCCCCTATTTGTTTTGACCTCACGACTATAGGGCAGCGTTTCACGAAACTGTCGTAATTACACATTCACCGACATCCCATCGAAACTCGTTGTAACTAACACACGTTTCAATGGGATATCGATGAACTTGTACTTATTTCGGTTTCGTGAAACAATGCCCTGACCATAATGAAAATGAAACAAGGTCAGACGTTACAATAAAGTACTATAAATATTTCAGATTAAGGTCCCTTATGATCATATGAACTGTAATATAAGAATGGCAAGGTGTATGAGTCTTCTAGTAGGAGAAGAGCCCCAGCCGAGTGCGAGTCTTGGTGACGCCCATAATTCTAGAGTTCTGACTCAAAATGTAATATGATATTATGCCCTTTCATGCATATCTCAATTCTAATGCGCGATTCTTCTTCCTCATCCTCTTCTCAACCCCACATGCAGCCAGCTCATCCTTGTGTATTATTTTCTGTACCCCCGATGTATACATGTAGCTATCTATCATTTTGAGCAATAATAGTTAGCCTCCAACGATCGGATAGCATTATTTCAAATACATGACATTAAAAGTTAAAAAAAACACTCTCATTTTCACTTCTTCAACTGCACTGAAAATTGTCAACAACAACAACAACAAAAATCAATCAAAAACACAACGACATCAAACATAATATTACAAAGTGTTTCAGAATTAATTGCTTTTATTATTGACGTCACAATGATTTTTCTATTACTTGGCCCTGGATTATTTTGTTCGGACTTTAAATATTGAATACTATACTTTGAATACTCGTAAATTGCTGCCAAATAAAGGGCTGCACATGCATGTAGGGGCGTCGCCAAAGGGGGGGGGGTGGGGGAGTGCGACACCCCTTACCTGTCAGGATATTGTCGGTAAAATTGCGCTGCCGTCGGGAAAAAGAGAAAAGGGGGAGGGAAAAAAAGAGAGGGAAAAAAAGAGAGGGAAAAAAAAGAGAGGGGAAAAAGAGAGGGAAAGGGAAAGAAGAAAAAAGAGAAAGGGAAAAGAAAAGAAAGAAAGGAAAAAAAAGGAAAGAAAGGTAAAGAAAGAGAAGAAAGAAAGAGAAAAAAGAAAAAGAGGGAGGAGAGGAAAGAAAGGAAAAGAAAGAAAAGAAAGAAAAGGAAAAAAGAAGAAAAAAGAGTGGGAAACAAAAGAAACGGGGGATGAAAGAGAGGAGAGAGAGGGGAGATAAGAGTCTGAGAGAGGAAGAGTGGGAGTAAAAGAGAGAAGGGGGTTGTTGGGTGGAGTCGTCTCGTCGAGGGAGCAAGAAAGACACGGGTAAATATGTTGCTGTGTCGGGTCAACTGTGTCGGTATTCTTGCTCGATCCTCGTGTACTATATCAATGCAGAAGTTTGAAGTCGGTGAGATGTATATTGTCGGTCGGCCGACAAGTTTTTTTCCCTACGAACTGTGACTTCTTATCCGCTGTGACGACTTCGAGAGTGACTACATCTACAATACTTGTATTTTCTCGAAGTTTCACTTTCCTATAATATCAGCTAAAGAAATCAGAGGTTTAAAATTTTCAGGGAAACTAAATTCAAACAAGGTTTAAGAGTCAACAACGGTACGACAAATCGTCTTCCTTTCTTTATATTGTGATGAAACGCCAAAGGGGAAACTTCATTTAGACGAGTCGAGAACGGTACAACGAATCGTCTTCTTTCTCTAATAATTTAAAGAAACGTCAAAGCTTCCGCGCTTCGCGCGAGAGTGGGAAACTGAATTCAGACAAATAGGGCTTATTAAAAGTCGAAAACGGTACAACGAATCCGTGTTCTTTGTCTAATAGTTTGAGGAAACGTCAAAGCTTTCGCGCTTCGCACGAGAGGGGGAAACTGAATTCAGATGAATAGGGCTTAATAAGATTCGAAAACGGTATGAGGAATCGTCTTCCTTTCTCTATATTGTGATGAAACGCCAAAAAATTCCGCGCTTCGCGCGGAAATGGAAAACTTCATTTAGACGAGTCGAAAACGGCAAAACGAATCGTGTTCTTTCTCTTAAAATTAAAGGAAACGTCAAAGAGAGGGGGAAACTGCATTCAGACAAAATTAATAGGGCTTATTTAGAGTCGAAAACGGTACAACGAATCGTGTTCTTTGTCTAATAATTTGAGGAAACGTCAAAGCTTTCGCGCTTCGCGCGGAAGGGGAAAACTGAAATCAAATGAATAGGGCTTAATAAGATTCGAAAACGGTACGAGGAATCGTCTTCCTTTCTCTATATTGTGATGAAACGCCAAAAATGCCGCGCTTTGCGCGGAAATGGAAAACTTCATTTAGACGAGTCGAGAACAGTACAACGAATCGTCTTCTTTCTCTAATAATTTAAGGAAACGTAAAAGAGAGGGGAAACTGAATTCAGACAAAATTAATAGGGCTTATTTAGAGTCGAAAACGGTACAACGAATCGTGTTCTTTGTCTAATAATTTGAGGAAACGTCAAAGCTTTCGCGCTTCGCGCGGAAGGGGAAAACTGAAATCAAATGAATAGGGCTTAATAAGATTCGAAAACGGTACGAGGAATCGTCTTCCTTTCTCTATATTGTGATGAAACGCCAAAAATGCCGCGCTTTGCGCGAAAGGGGAAAACTACATTTAGACGAGTCGAAAACGGCAAAACGAATCGTGTTCTTTCTCTTAAAATTAAAGGAAACGTCAAAGCTTGCGCGCTTCGCGCGAGAGGGGAAAACTGAATTCATACAAAATCAATAGGGCTTGTTTAGAGTCGAAAACGGTACAACGAATCGTGTTCTTTGTCTAATAATTTGAGGAAACGTCAAAGCTTTCGCGCTTCGCGCGAGAGGGGGAAACTGAATTCAGATGAATAGGGCTTAATAAGATTCGAAAACGGTACAACGAATCGTGTTCTTTCTCTAATGACATGAGGAAAGGTCAAAGCTTCCGCGCTTTGCGCGGAAGGGGAAAACTGAATTCAGATGAATAGGGCTTAATAAGATTCGAAAACGGTACGAGGAATCGTCTTTCTTTCTCTATAATTATTGTGATGAAACGCCAAAAATGCCGCGCTTTGCGCGGAAGGGGAAAACTACATTTAGACGAGTCGAGAACGGTACAACGAATCGTCTTCTTTCTCTAATAATTTAAGGAAACGGCAAAGATTCCGCGCTTCGCGCGAGGGGGGAACTGTATACAGACAAAATTAATAGGGCTTATATAGAGTCGAAAACGGTACAACGAATCGTGTTCTTTCTCTAATAATTAAAGGAAACGTCAAAGCTTCCGCGCTTCGCGCGAGAGGGGGAAACTGAATTCAAACAAAATTAATAGGGCTTATTTAGAGTCGAAAACGGTACAACAAATTTAGTGTGCTGAAATTCGAAAATTCGTGCCGGCCAATATTTCGCTCAGTGGGGGGGGGGGGGGGGGGGGGGGGGGGGGGGGGGGGTTATGAGCACTAATTTTGTGTTGGCCCTCGAAAATTTGAAAAATTTCACCCCCCCCCCCCCCCCCCCACCTTTGATCGCCAGGGGGGGGGGGGGCATCTCCAAAAAAAGGTAAAATTAACGTGTTTTACTGTTTTTACACGCCACTGTGGCCACCCGATGTAGCAGGCGGAAGAGGAGAACCTGTGATTCAAGTGCAGAAGATGTATGTACACTCAAAATGTTTGCATGCTTTTTGTAATTTTGCAACTGAACTGTGATTTGGAAAGAAAGCCCTCCTTTATATTACATTGTTATTGATATTTATTGTTTATTGGTTTCATCTTTTGTGTTAAATTAAATTCTTTGTATTCATCCAAATTCACAAGAACACATGGAAAATTGTCTTGGTCACACATTGTAAAAATACATATGATAAAAATATATGAAAAATTATATCGTCGTGTTTATAATCATAGAAGAACCAAATCCTTGTTGCTTTCGAAGAAAATCATCTGGAATTCGCATATTTTGGTCTTATCTTATGACAAAATGGGCCTAGGCCGGATAAGAGGTGGGTGCTATTTCCTGTTATTTTGAACTCTCTTGATCTTTCTTTCCTCATCCTGGAGCAGAGCTTACCTCAGATGATTACGGATCAACAGAATCTACAGAAGTCCCACAAAAGTATTAAAAAGGTATACATACAAATATTTTTAAAAAGAGATCGAGAGAAATTGAGCGAGATTGAGGGAGAGAGGGGGACGGATACTAGGACACTGCTAACGTTTACATTTCACAGATAGGACAGACGTCACATATAATAATTCATGCAAAGTTCTACAGAAATTGATTAGGTCTATATCTGATCCAAGGAGAACTGTAACAGTTTTTAAAAAAAGAGCCGCCATTGCTCCCACTCGTTTATATAGAGTTTCTTAAAAAGAACAAAAATATGTGTGAGAACCCCCACTTCGAATGCAAACAAACCCAAATGAAAATAATCAAAATTATTGTGAAAGCAAACTGTTTTTGGTATAAATGAATTGTTTATGATAACATTCTGATAATTAGAATTCAAGTAATTGATTAAGTAAAATGTCTCCGTTTTCCGGTGACAAAACCATACCCCCAACCCAGGTTCTTACAAGTATGTGTGTGTGCGTGGGTGTGCGCGCGCCTCTCTCTCTCTCTCTCTCTCTTTCTCCATCTTCCTTCATTTCCATCGGTTAACACGGCTAAATGACCTCACGGAGTGCAGACGATTATAAGTTATTGGGCATTAAAAGGGCAGCATGACAACTTTCCTAGTATTGTTGACGTACACCCCTCCCCATCCTCTCTCTCTCTCTCTCCTTTGTCATTATCCGTCTCTTTGGCAGGGGGATTTTGGGTACAACTTTTTGTGCAATGTTTAAACGGGTGTGCTTTAGAATTGCAAATTATTCATGCGTGTGTATAATTATGTGTGCGCTCGCGCGTCTCTCTCTCTCTCTCTTCATCTTCAACGGGCCTCACGGCAAATGAACTTAAAGGTATTACAAAGTTTTGGTATGAGGTCATGAATTTGATTCAAATTAACAATTTCCGAAGCATATGCGTTCCTAC